CTGGCCCAGGGGCTGGCCTACGGTCCCGCTTGATCAGACTTACTCTGCCTCTCTGCTTTCTGGAGCTCTGATGAGAACATCTGCTCTTCGATCGACGCTTCGGGTATTGCACCCAAAGGGTAAAAGAAAAGTGAAATTGCCGAGCAGCGTGACGTGAGTGCATCGACACACTATTGTCCCACCTCCCAACCTTCAAGGCGGTCCTCAGCCCCAGGGAGGAGGAGCATGGTCAGACCCAGGCGGAAGATAGGGCCACTTGTTCTTGCAAAGGCAGGAGAACAGAAAGTCTAATTCATTAACTCAAAGGAATCGAAGTTGTTTTGAGGTGAGGTGGCAGAGTTATATGGAGAGGAAGTGAACTTCGTATTTGCCCCTTCCCCTTGCTGAGATGGCGTGAAAAGGGTCAGGGAAAGCCAAAGATTTCTGGTCTTCTCTCAGGCCCAGGGGCTGGTGGGCACAGTAGTGAGCCTGGACTGAACAAGGAAGGCCCAGTGTTTGGACACGGTTGGGCTCAGCGTTGTAAAGTGGGGAAGATGTTCCTCAAAATTCTGGAAAGCAACCAGTTTACAGAGAGAAATCTCCCAACTCTTGCAATCAGAGGGAAGTACTAAGTTTGGACAGAGAAGCCTGAGGTGCCATTCCAAATTTTCTAGAATATGTGGGCACTTTACAAATGCAGCCAGAATTATTAGGGGGAAAAAAAAACTGAGCTTCAACTACTGGCTGAAATCTTGAGAAGGCACTGACATAAATGCGCCCGTTTTTTTTGTTTTGTTTTGTTTTGTTTTTGCTTATTAGCATAAGGTCTTCAGTATTTCTCAGCTGACCGATGGTAAAACTGGGACTGAAGGAGTATTCCGTTCAAGTTTATGAGAAAGTCCTACTTTGCAACATCATGCATTATCCCGAATAACAATGAGCTGGAATTTTAGGTTCTATTTCCCACTGCCTTGTTTGTCTCTACATTCCCTACAGAATCAGTCTCTCTGGGTGAAAGATGCCTGGCCCACAACTACCAATGACAGTCCTTGGTTCCTCACTCAAGTGCAGAGTTATCTTTTTGTTCCATTTGACCCTTGGGGTGAGAAGATTCTGGACTGCCTTCTCCTTTTTTTCTCCCACCTAGATTTAGGTCAAGTAGGTGATACCTAAAGGAAAATTAATGTTTTCTTTCTACCTGAAAGATTTCTCTCCATTTTGCTAAGTGAGCTGAGATCTGACACTTGGAATTGGGAAGTGAACTGTACAGTCCTGATCATAACCCAACGCGATAAGCTAATCTTGCGCCCTCCCTCAGCAAAATCCAGCCAAGTCTCATCCTGGAGCACTAATGAGATTTCACTATTTTTAAGTCCAATTAAGTCAGATAACCAATCCCAGATTAATCACATTCCCATGAAGATCTATCACCTACGATTCCCTCTCTGGTACCAATTTTTTAATCAGTTGGGGTTTGAGGGTACAAGTAACCAAATTGACTCTGGCTAATTTGGAGAAAATCAATCTCTTGGAAGTATATTAGGTAGCGCACAGAATTTATGCAAATACTAGAAAACTGGGGTAAGAAGATAGGCAGTCTGGGCAGTAAGATTCCCTGCCTGGGTCATCCCCCTGGCCTCGGGTGCCCGGTGTGTGGCCATTGATTTGGCAAATGAATTTTTCTCATTCTGATTAGAAAGGAATATCAGAAACTATTTTCGTTATCATGTGATAGATAAGAATATTTATTTACAATTTTCTCTTGAGGTAACAAAAAATAACTCACCTATCCTTTGTCATAATATACTTCAAAGAGATCTGGATCACCTGGATACCCCATACAACATCACAATGATTGATTACATGGGTGAGATTATGGTGATCAAACAGGATGAACAAGAGGTAGTCAGCACATCTGCTGAAGAGGAATAAATTACTGACTTTCAGTAACTGGAATGAATCTCAAAAGCAAAAGAAGACATACATCAAAAAGCATATGCTGTATGTTTCCACTGATGTAAAACTTTAATACGGGCAAAGCAATCCCATAGCAATAGAAAGAAGGTCAGCAGTTGCCTGATGCTGGGGCTGCAGAGATGACTACCCACAAAAAGCACCAGGGAACTTTCTGGGGTGATGAAATGGTCTCTATCTTAATTGTGGTTCTGTTTATATTTGTTAAAACTCATCAAAATGTACACTTTAGATGAATGCATACTCAATAAAATTGAGCTAAAAGAAGTACACATAATTTAATAAACTCTCAGTACATATGTCATTTGAATGTGAAATTACAGGTAAGGTTTTCCATTACTGCATTCTCAAGCATGCGTTATTTAGAAGCACCTCTTATCCTTATTCACATCCTGTTCTGGTTTAATGATTTTTGTTTGATCTCACATTATTTCCAGTCCTTTCTTTCTTTTATCTTCCCCCGGATTTGGCTGATATATCTCTGGCAGGTCTAAAGAAAGAGGTTTTGGTACCCAGGATGTTCATGAAGAAGTTTTCTAGTTTAAGTGAAGGGCTTCAGGTAAAGTGTGGCAGTTGCGTAAAACAGTTTTAATCCCCCTTACTGTTGACCTGCTGTAGCTTCCACATCTCTGTCATCACCCACCGTAGTGACCTACCAGGCCAGGCCTGTTGCTCTGGTATACACTTGGATGGGGTACGCCATATCGGTGCATCTATAGGAAGCATGGAAGTCTTCTTAGACCCTAGAACCATGTTCGCCATCTCTTTTCTGGGGGGTTTATCTGTGTCCTTGTAGGGGAAACCCAGGGGTCAAATACATTTGAGAAATTTTGATGTAAATAATAGACACAGACAACAGTTTAGTGGTTACCAGAGGGAAAGGGAGGAGCAGGGAGGTAGATAAAGGTAAAGGGGGTCAAATATATGGTAACGGAAGGAGATTTGAGTTTGGAGGGTGAACACACAATGCAATATGCAAATGACGTATTACTGAATTGTACACTTGAAACCTATATAATTTTATTAACCAATGTCACCTCAATAAATTTAATATAAATACATAAGTTAAACACTTTCCTATGAGTTAAGATTTCTCACAGACCCTACATGCCAATGTACATTAGGAATATTTAAAAGGGGTGTGTATAAAGGGACATTCCCCACCTCCCCGGAGTAGCTGTTCTAGAATCTTCTCTTGCCCTGGCTCAGCCTTAGACGGGACTTCCACACTCTCCAAGCTCCAGCTGCCTGCCTGGCTCCCAGCCACTTTCCTGCCTGGAGGTCTGCCTCTCTCTCCCTCTACATGATTTCTTTATATTCTGGTTCACTTTCTTTCAATTTTCTTAAAGTAATAATTTTATCCTGACAAATTATAGACATATCTGATCTCCCCTTTAATTTCTTATTTTTTAAAGTTTGATGGCGTCTAGTAAATTTATTCAGTTGTGTAACTATCACCATCATCACAATCCAGTTTTAGAACATTTTCATCACTCCCCAAAATATAGAAGTACAAAAAGTACAGAGGCCGGTAGAGAAGCAAATACATGGTAGCTTCTCAGCTCCCGGGGATCCTAGGGCTGGACCCCTATGCCTGCTCCCCTCTGTACCCCTCTCCCAGGCTGGCTACAAGGGGCAGCAGCCCCCCTCTAGAAACCCCCAGGTGTCCTAGGAATCTCACAAGTTTTCAGAAGTGGGGAAAGGCTTCAGGCACTGTCTTCAGCTTCCTGCAAGATCTGCTCTAAATACTTTCACTTTTCTTTCCTCCGAAGCTCGGCCCCTCGCTGCGTGTAGCAAAGCACAGACTTCCTGTTTTGCCCACTGGTATCTCTCGCCACTCTCCCAGTCTCCCAGGAGCGACCCCCTGGCTGACCCTCTGGCTGACCCCTACTCTGGGGAAGGAGAAGGAGCAGGTAACAAACTCAGCATTCAGGTTGGTTTTCATCGCGACTGCTTTATTCATTTTTGAATATCCGGTTTTTCTGATTAATTTCCTGGCAGAGCTGCCGGGTGAAACTCCACTATTTAAACTGTAAGGCTCTCTCTTTGTGTTTTCCAAAGAGAGAGAGAGGGTGTGGGGAATTGAATAGGAGGCTACTGAATGGGGGACAGCCGTCGAGGGGAAGCACACACACAGCTTCCCCCTAAATGCCTTCCCCCTATATTCTAGCCTGTTGTCGTGGTTGGGAAGAGACTGCTATCCGCCCTCCTCATCTATGCTCTGGGATCCTGCACTCTGCCTGAAAGGGACACTCATTCCAAATCCACTGTGCAAGTGACTAGGGGTAGTTGGGAAGCTGGTGGAAAAGAAGAAATAAGGAGAATACATTTAATTTCCTCTACTGTGTATCACAAACTCTATTTTTTTTTCTTTAAGCACATCTATAATGATTTCCTTGAAATAAATTCCTAGAAGTGGAATTTGGGACTCAAGGAAACACATATTTCAGGACATTTGACACAGATTACTAAATTAGCCTTCCGAACATTTAAACTTGTTTACATTTCCACCAGGAGTGTCTGTGATTATTGCTATTATTTTCTATCATGGCCAGTTTGACTGACAAATATGTTATTTTAAGTTGTCTGCATTTGCACAGTTCCAACTCCTAGTGAGTTACCATTCTTTTATTATATTTATTGTGCAGTTGACCTAATTGTTCATGTCTTTTGCTTATTCGTTTTTCAGACTCCTTTGCATAATAAAAATGTGAACACTCATATATGAGACATGGTATCATGCACTAGTGATAAATGGTGTTTGGCTCAGATGAGCTCTGCTTTGCCACCTAGTACCTTGGGCAGGTTACTTAACCTCTCTGTTCTTCATCCTTGGGAATCATAACAGATGAAGAATGAGGAACATCGATTGGGGGGAATCCTTTTGTAAGCTATGTAAATGTCTAACTACTATGTTGTACACCTAAAACTAATATGATATTGAATGTCAGCTGTAATTGAAAAAATTTTTTTGATTAAAAAAAAAAAAGAATGAGGAATATGGAGGATGTTTTGTTCTGAATGCCACTGTGTAATTAATTAGTCATCCTAAGTGGGACCCCGGGCTCCTTCCTCTTAGCATGTGTTCATTCTGACTTTCTCTGGCCATATGCTCTTTGAAATATCCTTCCTTCATGCATATCGTGGATGGTTGACATCCTTCCCGCCTGTTCTCTGTCCATCAGGATTCCTTCATGGTTATAGACAATTGCTCTTACGGCAATTTTTCTTGTTTTCCTGTACTGTTGTGGATTTTTTTTTTTTTTTACATTTTTTTTTCTGTCAAACTTAAAGTTTTCAGGAATGAGGAAAGAGAGAGAGAGAAACGGGCACTCGATCTACCACTGGGATTAAATTTCTGTAAATGGTTATTAATTACATTTCAATTTTCTCTTCGACATAAAATGAAGTTGGAAAAATGGGATCCATGTTTGTTTTGGCTTTGAATTTTTTGTTAATACCTCTCTTTTTTAAAAAAAATAATTTGTCAAGAATGTCATCTGTAAATTTTCTGCCTATGATAACTTACTGGTATTTTCTCATAACCTGTAAATGGTAAATTTTATAAATGTTGCATGGGCAGGGGAAAAGGCACATGTCTTTTCTGAGATATGAAATTGAAACATGAATCAGTTAAGTCACCTTTACTAATCATATCTCTTATATTCTTCACGTCTTTATGTTTTGCCTACTTGTGTGTTGAAGATTGTAGATTATTTATTAAAGTTTCTAAATATTATCAGGTTTCTGTCTTTCTATCTGTTCTGGGGAGTCCCTTTTACTTGAGCGTTGCTAGTGTGGGCCTTTAGCTGCAGTCCAAGCAATCTTAACACAGTTCAATGTAGCCACAGATTATAGTACTTATGACTATGAGCCAGGAACCAGAAAGTCGGGATTTGTTCAATTGCACCACTTCCAAGTTCCACAACTTAGGGCAAGTGATTAAACCTCTCTATGTCTCACTGTCCTTGACAATAAAAATGGGTGCAGTCATAGTAACCATCTTGCAAGGGTTATGTGAAGAGCAAATAAGTTATTGCATGTGAAACCCTTAGAACAAAGTCTGGCACACTGGAAGCACTCAATAACTATTAGCTTTTTTAAAAAAATAAATAAATAACAATTAGCTTATTAAAATATCTGCCTGATGTTTAGCAGCAGCCCCTTTGGGATTTCAACATCTTATTGTCGGTCACTTTTAGCCAACATTGTTGCTGGGCATTGTCATTGCTTCCTATACCCATGAGTCTTTGAGGCAAATGTTGCTTTGCAGACTACTCAAAGATGCTTTTGGGACCAGAATGCCTTTCTTTAGACACCCATTGAATACAAAGAGTGGCTTCCCAAGATCCTTCAAGGCTTTGCTTATCTTTTCTTCTCATGCCCCTTATAGGATGTTCACCATGACCCCGGCGTTAGAGAATGCTCTCCTCCAGCAGTTCATGTACCAGAAGCTGGAGATCTCCTACGCCATACGCAAGCCATTTCCCTTCTTCGAAGGCCTCCGAGACAAATCCTTCATCACTGAGAGAATGTATAGGGTGAGTCATGTTGACCACTTTCCCACAGCAGCCCAGCCCTCACCAGGAAGGCCTGATTATTGAGGTCTCAAACCACAAACCCCCAGAGTTTGAAAGCACTAGCCCAAAATGTTTATTATTAGGGAAAGGGGTGTCATAGGGTAACCTCAAACCAGGTGATTAAAAAAAAATGCATTCTCTCACAGTTATAGAGGCTGAAAGTCCAAAATTAAGGTGTTGGCAGGATTGATTTCTTCTAGAGGTCCTGAGGGAGAAGCTGTTCCCTACTTTCTCCTGCCTTCTGATGGTACTGGCCATCTTTAGTATTCTTGGCTTATAGAAACATCACTTCAATTGTTCTTTCCATCTCTACATGGAAAGAAGACATTTTTTCTGTGTCTTCTCCCTTTCAATCTCTTCTAAGGATACTTGTCATCATAATTTAGGGCCCACCCTAATCCAAGATGATTAGTCATTTCAAGATTCCTAACTGAATTATATCAGCAAAGACCTTTTTTTCAAATAAGGTCATATTCACAGGTTTCAAGTGAACATATCTTTGGTGGGGAGGGGTCACAATTTAACCTGCTAATGGCACTCTTTTAATTCCTAAGAGAGGTAGGGGAGGAGGGCAGAGGTAGACAGGGTAAAGAGGGTCAAATATATGGCAGCTGAAGGAAACTGGACTTTGGGTGGTAATCACACAATAGAATACATAGATGTCAAATTATAATGTACACCTAAAAATTATATAGTTGTATTAGCCAATGTTACCCCAATAAACTTAATTTAAAAAATGAAAAACAAAAACAAAAAAATTAAACCAAGCAAACCAGGATGTTACCCATAAAAAAATAAATAAATAGAAGGAGAAGGAAGAGGAGGAGGAGGAGGAGGAGGAGGAAGAAGAAGAGGAGGAGGAGGAGGAGAAAGAAGAAGAAGAAAGAGGAAGATGATGATTTAACCCCAAGACACATCCAGAAGTAGAAAAATTTATTCACTCTAAGAAAGAAGAAGAAAGAGGAAGATGATGATTTAACTCTAAGACACATCCAGAAGTAGAAAAATTTATTCACTCTATTCAGTGATTACCAATATTAGTAACAGCATCTGGCTAAACTGTGAATTCTTCAAACTAAAATGTGAGGGTCAGCTGGTGAACAGGACTAACTGCGGTTCTTCTTGGCATTGATGTGGATCTGCATGAAAGTCAAAATTGTCCAGCTGGGGCAGAAAATAACACAGGCACTGCATCTCATGGCTTCACGATAACAGCACTAGATACCACAACACAGCATCAGATGGCCAAGCTAGGACTGCTTTTCGCCTTTTTGTTTTCTTTTCTTTTTTTGACCGAAGTGGAAAGGTTTGAATGTATCCCCCTAGCTTTTAGCCCTGGAGACCTCAACTTCAGAAGAAACTGCTGACCAGGAAATGTTTAATTGCTGCAGGGCATGTTGTTGTGTTGCTCTATTTTTTACAAAACCATAAAAGAGGAATTGCATTTAAAAAAATAATAATAATTCCTAAGAGCTTGTCACCTATAGTCCATTCTAATGTGAAGCAAGGCAGGCAGTGGGAGATATGAGTATGTGGACAATAATGGCACTCTTTTTATATGATTTGGGGTTTTTAAAGCATTTCCTGAGCCTAGAGAAGATTTAGCAGTGGTAGAACCATCTCTCCCCTGTCTTGGCCTGGTTGGCTCCAAGGCCTCTCTGGATCATAGCTCAGATGTCACTCTTCAAAGAGGCCTCCTTGACTTACTCATCTAATTAAGAACCCCCGCGTTATTTTCTCTCATGGAAATCTGTGCTTTCCCTTTATAAAACTTCTCTCAATGATAATTGGGTACTTATTTAATTTGCATATATTATTTAATGCCCATCTTCTCTGCCTGACAGTGCCCCTCCCCCAATAGGGTAGCACCATGTTGATCTTCTCCACTGCTTTGTGCCCGAGGACTAGATTAGTACGTGTTCAATAAGTATTTTGCAATCAATTCTCTCTTGCCATGTTTATCCTATAGCTGGAACCCATTTTGGCCATCAAGTCCAAGAGAGAAAGAGAGAGCAGAGGATAACAAGCAATCAACAGGATTGCCATTAGTGACCAACCACTAGGTCCGCTGTTGAAGTGTCCTACCCAGAGCCTTAGAGAATTAATTACACCATAGCAGCCTTCGACTCACATTCCTTCCTTAAACTTTCTCTTTTCATCTTAAATGTACCTAAAATAAGGTTAACAAAACAGATTTATTTGAAAGAAAGCTAAATTATTTATTCCTATGGCTATCAAAATATATGAGAAGTTTCAAAAGTAAACATGTGGAACTGCCACTTCTCTACAGTAGAGAATTTGACTCTACGTTTTGTGTTAAATTCCTTCTTAAAAGGGCAAAGTAGCTTCCTTACAACTTAGAAAATCAGAAATGTCTAAGAAGGCTCTCCACTCCATTTTATAATCATGTGTAATACTCCTTGACTCCATTTCTTAAGGAATCTCTGGAAGCCTGTAGAAACCTGGTCCCTGTATACAGAGTGGTCTACAACATTCTCTCCCAACTGGAAGACACGTTCAGCCTGTCATTTCTGCAGCTGTTATTCAGCCAGATCAACCTGCGTGAATACCCCGACCTGAAGATGATTTTAAATAGCTTCTTAAGTGGTATGAGGGTTCTTGAATACTTTTGGGTTATAGAAGCATGAGAGCAGCTGCTATGCTGAACGTTGGGGGTGCTTTTCGGCCCTGTGGAATAAGCACGTCAAGTGCCTACTTCCTCTTTGGGAAGGTACGGGTCTTACTCATTCACGAGTATGGCAGGAAGAGCAGCCAGCCTCTGACCTATGATGACTTTCTAGAGGACACAAATGTTTCTGTAGGACCAGTTCTATGAATTTGGGGGAAATTGTTCAGTTTAGCACACTGGACATCTCTAGGGAATGCATTATGTGACAGAAATGCAAAGTTACAGAGACCATTTCTGATGGAAGGACAAGGAGAACCAGAGAGAAAGAGTAGTAGGTAGAGGTGGTTAATAATAAGCATCTTTTTTTTTTTTTGAGTGCTTCTTATGTGCCAGGCATTATCCCAAGCACAAATATCTCATGTCATAATTTAAAGAATCCTGAGGAGTCATTGTTACCCCCATATGACACATAAGGAAATGAGAGCTCAGAATAACGTTCCCAAAGTTACTTGTCTGTTAAGAGCAGAGCCATAGTCCTACTTGGATCCCCTAATACCAGGGCCTGAGATTTTAATGACTATTCTAAACAAGGAAAGCTGGAAGGCAGAGTGCGAAGCTGGAGGAGGGAAGAAAGGCAGCTGACGAGGAAGGGAGAGGAATTGTGGATACAGAGATAGAGAGAGAGGGCATGAAAAAGAAGTGGAACGTGAAGCACACTGAGAAAGAGAAAGAACGGAATAAATAAAGGAAAAAGAGCAATGATAGAGCCGGGAAGGAAGAGGTAAGAGGAGCAGATGGTAATACCATTTTAGGTTTAAGGGAAAACACTTTGGCCGAAACACAGGGTTCACTATTGAGAACAACAGGGGAAGACCAGCAGATCCCACTGGATTGTGACCTTTTACTAGTGGAGTCACTACTGTGACGGCTCTTTATCGGCTCTCTGACACTTTACCATCAAGAGGCTCCTCCCCAAAGGGAGAAATGATTCCTTGAGCTTAAGGGGCAGCAAATGAGAAAAGTCATCTTCCAGCAGGCACAGCCGCATGCGGGCCATGGCAGCCTTGAGACAGTGCTGGGAGAATCGTGCCCTCAGAGGCCATGCGACGCAAGTCTGATGGCCAGAGGGACCCCACACCAACGTGCCCCCCTGACCTGACTGAGCTCAAGTCTCTTTCTTGATCTGCAACTCTGTGATTTTTTTTTGTGGGCTCCTCCCCAGAATAACTCCATGTCCCCTACCTATTGGAAGTCGAGTGTAAAGAAATCCCTTCTCAAAAATAATTTTGAGTTTCTAGGGTACTGATGTGTGCTTCTTCCCTAATCCTAGTTGTCAATTCCTATGGAGGACGGAGCAAGGCCACCCTGACCCTCCCTGAAGCCCCAGCGAACTCACTAGAAAGAAGCTCCTGCCAGACCCTGCTGTCACTACCCCCACCGCAGCACCCCCCATCGAGGCATCTGACCCCTGGGCCCAGAATCAGTACACCTGGAGCATCCCCACAGCATGTAGTGGAGGTCTTGGGCGAGCCATCCAGCCCTGCTGGCCCTGCCAGAGTTCTTCTCACAGTCACCCAGAAAAAAAGGATCACTCCAGGTAAGAAACAGAAGCTGTCCAGCACCTGTGCATCCCCTGCCCAGGATGCCTGTGGCCATGTCAAGAACCCCAGGGTCCTTTCTTAGTGTTGACCTGCCCCTTCCATGCACCTGCCTGTCATACACAGCTTTGTCCAAAAAGGATTACAGACACTGCCAGGGGCTTGGGCAAGGCTGTTGCTCAGACACTCTCTCTCACTGCTTCCACCACTGGACAGCCCAACCCTCTGCCCTCGGACTTTGGTGCTCCTTCTGCCCTGGGCATTTTTACCATTCACTCTCCTGTATCCTGTAATGATTTTCTTTTCTCTCTTCAGTGACCAACTTAACAACTCACACAAATGATGAAGCAGATTCACAACAGATGCCCAGCACTCCCTCTACCGCTATGCAAAGTAAGATCCTTGGGGCTAACTTAGTTTAGCTCAAGGTGGCTGTGAAGGGAGAACACGCACCTGCCAGCCAGGAGGCTTGTGGCCTCCTGGAACCCTGAGAGCAAAAACTGGGTGTGACAAAGGAAAAGAAAAGAGGGGGACCGATGCACTGTCTGGGCACAGGACTGCGTATAGGGACTCCACCACGGCCAGTATGATGCTGTGGTATCCAGCATCCCTGTCCAACCCACACTTGAAACACACTGTTCTGACTGACAGGAAATGGTTATCACACACACATCCTCCACCCTCACCCGACCGCTCAGTCTCTGATTCAGGGGCCTTTCAGTTTCAACCATATTAACTTTACGTATGGTTTGAATTCTAAGAGCAATGTTATTGAAATTATCAGAAAAGATGTTAAAATGTTTAAAGGTCTGCTGGACCTGATCTCGTTTCTAGTTTCTAAGACCATGTCACGTATCTACTGCAAACCATCATTATAAAGGAATTAGACTATAGTATATTAAATATAACCAGGTACATCTGGGTGCTGCCAGAAATGGTATCATGAACCCTGAGTAATACAATTATGAGAATAAGGGGCCCTATCTGGTCCAAATAATGTTTCCCCCACACTTCTAATACATACTGTCCAAATAAGGCTAACATAATCATGAAGCCCATATCGATGTAGGATTCCATCTTTTAGATTTCGAAAAGAAAAGAGTAAGTACCATCATTAAATTAGTAAGTAGCCAGTTGAAAAGAAATGATGGTTCACTGTCCCACTCTGCCCTGCCCTCACCAAGCCTTGGTGTTTTGTTGGCCCCATCATTTTTACTGTCTAGAGTAGCTTGTTCTCTTTTCTCCTCTGGTTCTCGCTTGCTGGTCCTGGGACCTGAAATTCTTTTTCTTCCTCTGCTCAGTGTCCAGTGACAACCTAACCTCCCACATAAAGGGTGAAGAAGGTGCTCAAGAGATGTGCCATGCTCCCTCAGCCAGCGTGCCAGATAATCTTGATTTGGACAACTTAAGTCCACCTTAATTTTCAGGTCTATAAAGAGGAGAAGCCATTGGAATCTTCTAAGGACGGGGCTCCCCTCATTGCTCCCAACCACCATCATGGTCTGGCTCTCGCTGTTTACCCAGCCCTTGGGAGCTTAGACAGGCAGGAAACCCCCGCTCCTGGAGTGGGGGACCGATGACTAGAGAAAGGAGCCCCACTAGTACCCACTGGACTTGGACTCAGACACCATCAAGGGTTCTGCAAAAGGAGGACATTTATCTGCCAGAAGGCATTTTGGCAGGAATCCAGGGACAGCACAAAGGACTGAGCTAGGGCAGGACTGTCCCCCTCAGCCACTCTCCGAGGTCACTCAATAAGGTAAAGCTCAAAACCGCTCCACCTAAATGCAAAGCAAGTAAAATCACTGTGTGGCCCTAACATAGAGTGGATGCCTCCTGGACATGGATGGTCACCCTTCCCAACCCCCCACCCTGATTGTGTGGAACTTTCACTCCCAACCCTCAAAATTTCTATGTTTGGGCTTTTAAAAATTGATAGCATTAAAAAATTTTGAAGTGCAACAAATTACTTAAAAAGTTTAGCAACTGCTTTCCACCTACTTCAGTTACCTGTTCCTAAGTAGGCCAGAATTTAAGACAGATATCACAGCATCGTGTAAACAAGAAGGTGACAGCCTTTCCTGAGATGGGCCTTTATTTGTTATGGCTTCAAGCCCTTCTGTCTTACTTAGTGCAGCAAAAGCTAAGAACTTTGTATTTATTTGCTGTTAACAAGTGTTAGCAAGTACAGGGTGGCTGCTCCTTGTACAGTCCTTGTGTACAGAGGTATGAAAGGCTCTAAGCCTCCTTCACTACATCTCAAGATGAAATAATCACAGATAAAGGGAGTTAAAAATATCCATTCACAGACATCTAGGCAATAACATGTATTTTTCATATGGCAGACACTCTCTCTCACTGTGGCCATCAGAATTCAAGGTCACCACTTACACTGACCTCAGCCTCATTCCCTGAGTGAGGGCTGCTGAGACCCTCTGTACTTCTCTTCCACTGAGTAAGGGGAACCCACCTAAATAGGCCAAACTGAGCCCTTCTCTGCGGAGCAGTTGTTCCCTGGCACTGTGATAGTCACACAGGTCGCAGTAACCACAAGTTGATTGAAATCAAGGGAAAGCCAGGGATCCCTGAAGATGGGCAGGTGCCCGGCCCCGGGCCACACATATTCTCCTGTTCCCCCACTGAGCTCCCTCAGTACTTTCTCTTCAGTCCATTCTGGACTCGGAAATGAATTCTGTTTCCTTTGTCAGTGATAAGAAATGATTCTCCTGAACCAAACAACGCAAAAGAGCTCCAGGAGGCGTCCAGCACAGCTCCCAACAAGAAAGGTAAGGAGTGCCTTCCTCCCGTAGATGTCAGGAGGGGAATTTGGAGTTGCATTGTTTTTTTTGTTTGTTTGTTTTTTTTTTATCATATCTTATCATGAGCCTCACTACATGATTGTAGTCATGAGGCTCAGTACAATTTGTTTCTGCAATTCCCATTAACGACATCGTTTTTTAAAGCCTTCATGAAAATTATAGAGAAACGGGAAGAAATTTAGGGACATTGATATATGCACCCACTGGAATTGCCTGTTCTGAAATCAGCAAGCTCCCCTATATCCATAGCTTCTTAGAGGGTTCGTCGTGTCTCCTTCTTTACCTGAAAGTGGGTTCTCCAAGAGGACATTGCTTTTTCTTAAGCATGGCTGCATGTTCTCTGCTATCACTCACCTCATGGTGGAAGGCAGGTTGGATATCCGCCCCTTGCTACCCATTGCCCCCGGCCAGCTCCCTTGCTCCCCAATTCTCTTTTTTTTTTTTAGGCTTAACCATTCAAGTGAAACATTCTCTCCTTCTTCATCACTATCATCCATTAGTTTCCCACAACTCCCCAGCAGACCTCGAAAGCCGACTTAAGAGTTTTTCTGTCATTTCAAGTCCTGCCATTATCCTGGACACCTTTGAGGGACACGTGGATAACAGACCCATCCAACATCTGACCTCTCCAGTCCTTCGTCTGCTCATTTCCAATGACATTTTCCTCCAGCAATGCTTGGCCTCCCATGCCCAAAAGCAATCCACAGGCCCTTTCATCATTCAAGGCTGGCTCAACTTCCCAATAATTAATTTAAGAATTCTTTTTTTTTTTTTAACTTTCGTTAGCACTTATTTGATGCTGAATTTACTCTTGGACAGTAAGTTCTTGTTTCTTCAGTTTCTTCTGGGATATCCCTCACTTCTGTGCCACCTCCTCTTCCAGTATAGGCACGACCTGCTCCCTGTGAGGGAGGATCATCTCAGGGTGGCAGGGAGAGCCCAGATAGGGTTAACTCCCTCATGAGCTCTGTAAGTTCTGTGCAGTATCTTGGGGATTTGTTCATCTGGGTGTGCTCAGAGACCACAGAATCTACATCTAAACCCTTAAGTTCAGCATTCCTCTGCATTTTTAAGCATGTACAGCAGAAATTCAACACTCTTTTTGGGCCACCAACCCAGCATCCAACCCACACCTACCAACTCCAGCATTGTAACGATGGAACAGCACACATTGCTTCTATAAAGTGACATCCTTCAAATACTTGTGGCTTTTTGGGTATGCATACCCTTGATGGCCTGGGCATTTTCACGGGTGTTCCTAAAGTGAACATGAAGATTTGAACCTCTTGATTTGCATGAATTTGTGGAGTTTTCTGGGTCAAGTGAATAGTGGACCGTTTTCAGAGGTCACCTCAGGTCGCTCATGGGAAGAGCAAGAATTCCCTTTTTTTTTTTTAAACACCAAACCCTTGACATTTGCTCCTTGCTATCGTTCAACCTTCGATCTCTCCTCCTCAGCCTCATCTTCAAAAATTAATTCAAAACTATCCTCTCCTCATTTGCTTTTACAGTGTGTTCTCTCTGTATCTGTCCTTCAACCTCATTGGGCTGACTGGTCCCCTGGCCTTTCCCTTTTCCGATCCATCAATCTGCCTTTCTTCATTTGCCTTCATACCAGCTTACGGTCCAAGGTTCATTGCTTAATAACATTTCCAATACTTAACCTGCCTTGACTCTCTGTCTTCTCCAGAATGCTCTGGCAAGTCTTGGAGGCACCTGTTACTATTTCCTGCATGCTGCATCTGAAAACAGGCAGTACTGGGGAGAGGCACACAGAAGGGCAGAGTGCACCCACTGTGTCTTCACGATTCCGGTGCAAATGGTACCTCCACACTGTGTGACAATTCCACTTCCTGCAATGTTCCTCTCAGACCTTGAGCTGCAAACTTCTGATCTTCTCACTGCCTCCTTGTTTGCTCAAAAGATCGCTTTTCCTCCTATTGCATAGAAAGGAATCAGATGGAAATCCCCTCAGTTTGGGCTACCAACCCCACAAACCCTAACTGGGTCTGTCCCCTCCTCTCTGATTCCCTCCTTCTCTCCAAGGCAACCCTTCCACCTTCCATAACAGTGTCCACAATCCCTTCTGTCTCCTGAGAATTCAGCATCTTCCTCTCACACAGATCTGCATCCAGCCAAGGCCCAAGCCTATCCCAGCTCATAAAAGGAACTTCCTCTTGATCCTCACCTCACTTCAGCTGCCTGCACAGCCCTTCCCTCCTCACAGCCAAGCTTCTAGAATAAGTTACCTACACTCATTGTCTCCTTATCTTCACATCTATCCCTCTCCTGCCACTTTAGAATTTCTTCTCCCCCTATTACTTCATGAAGCAGCATTACCTAAGATCACCAATACCCTCCTGGCCACTGTGATTTGAAGACCATAAGTAAAAGCTGGAAATTGCCAACATATAAGATTGGCAGATCCATGCATGTAGCCATAAAAGATGATCTGTATTCTTTCTTTTTAGGGAAGAAAAGAAAAAGATATAGCTGGTCAACTCCAAGAAAGAGACACAAGAAAAAAAGTGTTCCAAGAGGTAAGAGGAAAGTACAAGAGAAGGCTGGAGGCAGGAGGCAGCCCATGTCTGTAGGTCAAGGTGTGGGAAGTAGAATTTTATTCTAAATGTAATGGGGAACCATTGACGTGATCTATCAGTGAAGCGACACTATCCAACTTAAAACTTGACAAGATTGATTTTGGTGCTGTGAAAAGAATCGATTGGAAATAAAGAATGGAAGCAGGGTGACCTTTTGGAGGGCTGATGCCATGAGAGTCGATAGTAGCCTGGATTCAGAGCTGGCAGTAGAGATGGAGAGAAAAGGGCCAAGTCAAGATACGTTTGGCAATCAAGTTGGCAGAACTTGATACCTTAGAAGCTGAGGATGAGACAAAGAGTGAGAGTCAAGGCTTGCTCTTTTATTTCTAGCTCTAATGGCTGGGTGAATGCAGTGCCTATTGCTGAGAGAGGGTGCAAATATATTTGGGGAGAAATTTTAAAATTCAGTTTTGACCTGTCCATTTCAAGAGTATGCTAACCATCTGTGTAGTTGTGCCAGGGATGTGCTTTGCCAAGAACTGTGAAGGGGTGAGATGTTACCCCACTTGCTCAGGCATGTTCATTATATATATGACTCCTACAGAAACACAAGTGACCTGGGTCAAGGAAAAGAATGCTTTATTGATATTCACAACCAGTTCAACAGCCAGGATAACAATGCAGTATTTATACCCCACATGCAGACCTACAGGCAGCAAGAATAGAGCTGATAGACCCTTTCTGTGTGAGTGGCAGATTACATTCTATTGACAAGGAAGGAGGAATGATGGGTTTTCTCTTTTTGCATGGGACAAGGACAGCCATCTTCCTCTCCTTCTGAAAGGAGGATTTTTAAAACTCTCTGCTTTGAAATCGGATTGAAAAAATCCTGGATCCTCACTCTAATTATGTGGAATTTAAATGTGTTTTTCCACCAATCATAGAAACACTAGGTGTTCTTGTCTTTTACTTAGAGATATCTTCAAAGTCTTCACCCCTTTTGACATGTAATTACCTAAGGAAAGATTGCTCCAGTAGTCCTGGTACTTTGGGACTTAACCGAGGAACCTAGCCCTGTCTGCAACCACTTAGCCATGTCAAGAGATGAGAAGTTTTATTTTATTTTATTTTGGATCAGAGCAATTAACTAGACAAATAACTATAGACCTAATTCTCATAGTATGTGAAAAGTAAAATGTTTCTAGGGGAAGTGAAAGCAAACATTCCCTGTATACACTTCCATATCTCAGGAGACTGGGGCTTCTGACAGAAGCACTGAGAACTCAAGGAGGTTTAATTCTCTCCTGACGTGCCAATCTGGCACTCAAGAAAAAATCCAATCCAAAGATATAAATATGAGTCATTGGCAAAAAGAAAGTATCCAGATCCATGGGAGAAAAGAAGAACCCATAAATCCTTCATAAATCGCCTTCATAAATCCTAGAAGAGGAATGCAGCCAAGCAGACTGAGGGAAGAGGCCAGTGAGGAGGGAGGAGCACTTGGAGAGAACACGTCAGCAAATCAAGAGGGAATAGTTGACTACACTGAGAGATTAAGATAAATACGAAGAAGCAGACCTTGGATTTGACTGCATGGTATCTCTGGAAGACTCCAGAGCAATTTTACTGGTAACGGAGGCAGAAGCCGGCTGGGTTAAATAATGAATAGGAGGTGATAGCCTATGTAGACAACTATAGCAATGAGGGAGAAGCACCAAGCAGCAGGTGGCAGCCGAAACCAATGGCTTAATGCTCCTTTTCCCTCACTTAGTTTGTCCTTAGCATGATTCCATTGTTCAGAATCACAGGGTTTGGACCCTTTTGAGACATTTCATAGAAGTAAGTTAGTTCTGTGACTTTTCCCCAAGGGTGACTGATCTTCCTGGGCAGAGAGGAAAGACAAGTTGCTCTCTCCCTCTCACCGCGTGTATTTCACATGAGCCTCCTTGGTTTAGTGTAAACTACTCAGATTATTCAAGTCACACTTCCTGAGCTTTATCAATCACTCTCAAGACTCCCGTAACCACCTCTCTGCTGATGACTCTCAAATCAAAATCTCCACCTCAGATTTGTCTTCAAGAAATATACAGCCAACTGCACACTGGTCACCCTGTGTGCAGTTGATACTGCAGTCTAAGTCCCGAAGATACTCCAATCTAAATATTTCTAAAATTGAATTCATCATCTTCACCTAAAAACTAATCTTCTAGTTATCATTCAGACCTCGATTCAACAGTGAGCATTAGTTCTGTATATATTCATTCTGAGAGTTGACAGTAGAGTTTTTAAAAGAAGAGAAAGAAAGTTCCTGGAGCTTACATTCTGGTTATGAGAGAGAAAGAATATAAGCCAGAAAGCACAGAAACAAGAGAATTTCAGATAGTGAGGACAAGATGAAAGAATTTTAAGGATAAGATTACAAAAGCGATTTGCAGCTTGGGGCAGAAGTCACTTTAGACTAGACAATTCAGGAAGAGGGACTCGCAAGTAAGAAGGAGCCGAGGCTGGGAGGAACGGCCAGTGTTGCTGGGTGATGACGAGGAAAGAATAAGGTGGTAGCAGGTGAGAAGTTCGAGAGGGGCTAGATGACGTAGGCCTCACAGACCCTTGGGGAGAATTATTTCACTTAAAATGAGTTACCCGGTGGCCAAGCCAAAAACTAAGTCATCCTTGACTCCCTGATGATCTGCCTTAGTACACTGACAAGTCCTATCGATTCCATCTCTTCTTTCCTAATTAAAATCTCGTGATTTCATTCCCACGTTTAAAATTCGGCCGTGGCCACCCATTGCTGTCCGCATAATGCTCGTAGTTCTTCGTGTGATTGTCAAACCTTTCTCCAGTCGGACTCTTCCTTTCCCCTCCAGCTCCATCTCTTTCCGACCAGCTTTCTTTCCTCGAAACTCCAGCTCTTCCCTTTCTCTCCTCTCATTTCTCTTCTCCCTCTTTGATCCTTGGCGCTTTTCTCTCTTTGAATGCTACATCCTTACTCTACACTACTTCCCATCAACGTTTGGCTTTGTCTCCTATACTCATCACTGGAGTTGGCTTCAGTGTCTTCTTCAAGACGGCACCCTCTGACTCCCTAAATTCGCTAAGTTGGTCCCATTGTGTGTTTCTATTAGCATCCAGCACTGGCCCTTTGGGAAGATCCCACATACTCTATTGTATTTACTTATGTAATGTGTCTCTTCTAGGCTAGATGGTGATCTCTGGGCACACAGGAGGCATTAATTATTTCTTGAATTAAAAAAAAAGAGAAAGAAACCATATTTTCTGTATCCCATAATTTGGAGAATGATCTGACAAAGGCTCGTTTACAAATTTATTATTGTGTTATGCAAAGGAGTCACAGATACCACTATCGGCACACGGTGCTGATATGAACTGAGGGTTATTGGAGAGAAATCTCACAGCAGAGAAGCAGAACCCTCACAATCCTCCAAATTTTTCTTATCCCAAGTTTAGGGCAGACATAGATGACCTGCATGCCCTATGACTAGCATTCCAGTACTGAGAGGCTCTACATGTTTCTGGGACCAGACAGGAACATTTATGTGACTGTACAACAGCGCACACTCCTCGGTCAGAGGAGTGACCTTGTTAGAAATGGGGAGCCTCTGGGGTCCCAGGGCTGGTGACGGCGGTCCTGCCTGGGGAACTCCGACCTGCGGAGACTTCTCTCTGCTAAGCTACCAGAAAGAGAAGGAGATGCCAGGCCCTTCCCGATTTGTCTTTCTTCCTGTGATATTTAAATGAAAATTTTTACAAGGATATTTCTAAGAGTCTCATTATTTTATATTTAATTAATCGCCTTTATTAAAAATACTAAAAACACCTAAAAAGATATACAAACTTTAGAGGAAAAAAAGAACACACTTAGTCATGCTGAAAATATACTGTTGTATGTAAAAAAAATGGTATTATTTATTTTTTGTAACAGTTCTCACTTCTCTGAAACCCTCCTTTTGTGACAGGGAAGAAACATTGAACTTGCCAATTAAAGCCAAATTTTAGGCTCTTTGGGGTTATCCCAGTTTTTTGTTTTTTGTTTTTGATAAGTATTTATTAACTATCATTGTTGAACTCCCTGCAGGTCCTGGTATTTCCTCTCTAACTTTTTGTCACTCCTGCTTCCTCTGGAAATGGCACTTGGATGTTAAAAAATAAAATAAAATAAAATAAGCTCACCTGCCAGGAGGAGATGTATCTGTGCCACGTGTGCAGCCTCCCAGGCCTCCGTGGAGATATTCTTGTTCCACTGGACCATGGTCACCCTACAGCGGCCAGCACCTGAAGTCCACAGCCAATTAAAATTATGATCTCTTCTTTCAACAATGAAGCATACTCCCCAAGCACCTTCCACCCTCACCCCACCCTCCCCCACATTGCACATCCTCTGTCTCAGCTTCATCCTCCACTGGAAGATTCCTGCCTCTCGATTCTTTGAAACCTTGCCCATTCCCCACTAGAAGCACCTAGGGGTCTCTGGATCTCTCCCATACCACACGCAGGCCCTGGGGAACCTGAAGAGGTACTTTATAAGGCCCCTCTGTTGAAATAAACCACCTGGCCATCTTTACTTAGATGAGGTTACCTCCTGACAGCAGGTGTAACTCAGATAAGAAACAGGAAATAAGCCCCCCTGCTCTGGGGTTCTCGCAAATTTATCTGGCTGATTTCAACAGGTTGTACAAAGAGTGAGACCAGATAGTGCGTTTGGAGGAAAAAGAAAGGTGTACCTAAGAAAAAATATATAATTTCAGAGTAATAGCAGGAGAAAAGTGAGGTACAGGGGTATAGAGATCTCAAAGTCTGGGGGATGGGGAATGAAAAAGAAGGTCTCTAATGGGTGTGGGGGAGGTCTACTGGGGACTCCAATGAAAACCATTCACAAATCACTTTTGGCCCAGGAACCGCCTCACCTGGGTACGGAATCCAAGAGACGCTCCAAGAGGTGAATCAGGTGACTCAAAAGAAGAACAGCTCAACCAGGAACGTGGAAGTGGTGACAAGGGCCCAAAAGGCAAGGGACGAATGTGCCCAAACATCTGGACTTGAGGGTAAGGCTGGTGACAGAAGCTGCCATTTGAAGGCTCAGTGTGGGAGGACCTTTCGTGCAGCAGCACAGGGTTAGGTAGATGTCTAAAGCTAATAGGGAAAAAACGGTGAGGTGTGACAAGAGTGACAGAGAAGTAACAAGTTGAGCCCCATCCTGTGCCCCTCCGGGGCCACCTGTTAGGATTCAGCAAGCAATCCACAGATGCTGTGCTTATAGTTGCCTCAAGAAACCATAGCAGAAACTGAGGCCAGCTGCCACTAGTGTGAGTCTTGGCTCTGCTCAGCAAGGAGCACCTGGCTTGCTGAAGACTCACCTGTATGTGGCTTGGGTGGGACCATGAGTTGGGGAAGGAAGAGTTTCAGGGAATCCTCTGGGCAGAGCGACCTCTGTTACCCAGTTTGATGACATCTCAGCTATAGCATGCTGAGTCTGTGCACTGGGAGTGTGGAGATTCAACAGAGGAACAATGGATACCGCAGGCACTTCTGCCCTGGAGAGACCCTAGCCTTTGGCCTTCACTCCAACAACTCAGTGTTCCCCTGTAAGTCCCTGGTGCCCTCTGCACAGCCAACCTGGCGCTGGCACTCAGAGCAAGCAGGTCTGTCACCACGGCCTATTCAGGATGCGTCTGCAGCTACCGCAGCCTCTGCTATGGCCTCTGTCCCACACAGCCGCTGGGGACTGGCAGCCTTGCATCCTCAGCCCATCCTACCTCCTCCTGTTGCAGGGTGATTTCTTATTTCTCTCCCCAGTTGTAGGGCTTGTTCATCTAGATCCCAGGTGAACTTCCTTGCTGTTTGCTCCGTGATTCTGTCACAACTTCAATTTGGTCACAAGAAGGATGAACAAAGCCTCTATCGTCTATGCCATTTTTTTCCCTCCTCCTTTGCTAACCTCTTTAATATCTGGCTTATTCAAAGATAGCTGGACTCATATCTGCTTCTATGCTCGGTTGTGATATGTTGCTTCGGTTGAAATATAGGAAGAAAATCCAGCCTCACACAGATCTGTAGTTGAAAAATGTTGGAGTATTCTAACAATCTTTTGAGATATCTCTGGATATTTATCTTTGATATGACACCAGAACTCAACAAGTGGTAGTTTCTTAAAGGTTAATTGTAAATGTAGAATCTGAAACCACATCAATGAACTTTTCATACTCTGTTGCAATAAAATGCATAATGCTATTTTGCATTTTGAATACATCATCTCATGCAAGATTTATTAATGTTATGGACATTTGAAAAATATGGGTCACTGAATTCTACAGTGTATTGCATCTCAAACAGTCACACAAGCATTTTCTTGAGATGATCGTGGAACTGCAAGATGCAGTGAACAGCTTTATACGTACTCTCCAGTTTTTCACAAAGACTATTAAAAGACATACTCAAGGAGAGAAATTGAATAGAATTAGTAAATTGTACTGGTTCATCAAGAAGATTCTTAAATAACGTGGTTTTTGTTTTGTTTGTTTGTTTGTTTGTTTGTTTTTTGATAATGAGTAAGCAATGGTGAACACTACAACGACTATTCCTAAGGCTTAGGAACACTTCTTTGATTTCTACTAAGGCACCAGCAGTTTTACCTGCCTGGCTCTTGCTCCATTTATACAAAGATATACATAGTGAAAAAGGCAAAGAACACCTTATTCTGAAAACAGTTTTGACCTCAAGGATCTCCTGAAAAGGTTTTCAATACCTCCCAGGGGTTTGCCTCACTTCGAGCCTCTGGTCCAGGGGTTCAGATGACTGCTGTCCCACTAGACGTCTCCGTTAGAAGAACCACTGCTGACCAGCCTTGCTCTGCTGTCCCCTGAGTGGGAGACAGACCCAGTGGTAGATGCATTCTCAGGAGGGCATCTACCACTGGGAGGGCAAGATCTGGAACCTCCCGCCTTCAGCTCTAGAGTGTGCAAGATCCTTCCTGGATCTCTGGGAGAGTCCCCACGAAACTTTCCAGCTGGAATTTACTGAGGTCTGAAAGAAATGTCTTTTTTTTTTTCCAGAGGTCAGTGATGATGCTTCAGAAACAAATGAAGGAAAGACATCCCAGGAGCCGCCCAGCACACCACCAAGAATCATGCAAGGTACATATGAGGGAATTGCAAGTCTCAGCGTGCAGTCCTTAGGAGACCAGATTCAGAACTGTTTTACTCTAATCCAGAGTTTCTCAACCCTTTTTTCATTATCACTGCCCTAGGGGGCCCACTTAGATGTTTTATCCTAATAAAGACCACACCCCACGATATTGTAATATCATGAATATATTATATATTGATTTGTGGACTGTGTATATTTATTTGTGTCTTATACAAAAAAAAAGTAAGATTCCCCCACCCCAAGAACCAGTTTTTGGGGGCAGCATCACCACTGCTGACAATTCATGCTCTAAGCGTATTCTTGGTATGTTATTGAAAGTGCCCAAGCCATGGATCAAGTTTTTCCCTAGGGTTTCAATCTCCATATTTCTCACATGACCTTTCTGGGACAATTGGGAAGAGAACATTTCATCATAAACACAAATGTAATAGTGTGACCGAGCATAAGCAGGGACATCATTGTGGGCATGTGTGAGTAAAACGGTGCATGTTATTTCACTCACCGTCCCTACTGTTAGGGGGGAAGAAGCTGAACATGCTTATATTTGTGGGTGATTTGGTCACTGTGTCACAAATACAAAACTCCCACATGACAAACATGACTCACAAATAACAAATATTTAATTATCATTACAAAGAATATGTTAAATTCGGCCACTTTAAAACAGATGATCGTTTTAACAGTTTCCCTACGTTGCATGGACTTCTATGGTAATATTTCAAATTTTCTCATGGATAAATTCTCACAGCCACCTTTGGAGAAGTTTGAGCAATTTATTCAGTTTTAAAGATGAGAACATGGAGACATGTAAGAGATGGATGGGTTTTTAGAAAAGTCCATGGATAAAGATTGGCAGACACAAGACTAGCATCCTGATCCTTAGAACGATCTTCAAGAACCATGATTCTCCATCAGAAAGGAAGGGACAGAAATAATACTGTCAAATTTTTGTCAACTCAATATTGTCTGAAATGAGTGTGGTCAATAAATATTGCTTATTTAAAAATTACTCTCTTTTGCATTACTTTCTAGATTCCCTGGATTGTGGAAGTAAAGTGTCTATAGGAAAATCTTCTGGAGAAAAGCGTAAGTGTAAATACTCTGCTGTTTTCTATGAGGGTGGATTTGATGTTACTCTTACTGGTCATTATGTCCATCAGGCTACAAGAGACATCCAAGCCAGAAAAAGCCGTGCGCTTTTTAAAACAGTGACTTTTCTCCAACATAGAAAATGTTCTGTACTTTGCAGCAGCCATTAGGATTTTCTTGCTCCACACGACAGCAAACCACCACCCATACACCAGAAGAAAACTTATTTCTCTCTCTTACATGGAGGTAGGTGGTCAGGGGCTGGCTTCATAAACCATAAAATCCAAGGCTCATTCCCACACCATACTCAGCATGTGACATCCCTTTCATGGGGATCCAGTCAGTCCATTCCAGACAAAGTGAAAGAGACAAGGCCATTTAAGGGATCCTTAAAACTAAACAATGCCTTTAAAAAAATTATTAGTGGTCTAAAGATGATTTTTCAATAAATTTGTCATTTGTATTTCTTCTTTAAGAATTTTCAAGTTATATTCTTTGCCCATTTTTGTAGTGTCTGTTCGTTAACAAATATAGAGGATTAATAATATTAACCCTCTATATTTTACTATATTATAGTTTTTTCTATTTTTTGTTTTAATATTATGGGGATTTAAAAAATTTTTATATATGTTTTTTTCAATTATAGTTGATATACAATATTATATCAGTTTTAGGTGTACAACACAGTGATTAGATATATATAAAACTTATGAAGTGATCACCTCAATAAATTCAAGACCCATCTAACACTATAGATAGTTATTATAATACTGACTATGTTCTCCATGTTATACACTACATCCACACGACAATTTCGTAACTACTAATTTGTACCTCTTAATCTCCTATTCCATTCAACCATCCCTTCACCCTCCTATCTGATAACCATCAAAATCTTCTCTGTACCTATGAGCTTGTTTCTGTAGTTTGTTTGTCTGTTTATCCTATACTCTAGAGTTTATAGATGGCATTTGTCTTTCTCTGGCTTATTCTACTCAGCATAATACCCTCTAGGTCCATCTATGTTCTTGTAGATGGCAAAATTTCATTCTTTTTTATGGCGAAGTAATATACCATTGTAAATATGTATCACTTCTTCTGTATTCATGCGTCTATCGATGGACACCCAGGCGGCCTCTATATCTTAGCCACTGTAAATAATGCTGGAATGATTCACATGATTCACAGTAGTGTTCTAGGTTTCTTCAGATAAATACTCAGAAGTGGGATAACTGGGTCCTTCTTTGTCTCTTGTGATAGCCTTTGTTTTAAAGTCATTTCGTCTTATGTACGTATTGTTACCCCAGCTCTTTTTTGTTTGTTTCCATTTTCATGAAACCTCTTTTTTCATCCCTTTACTTTTGGTCTGTGTGTGTCTTTCAGTCTGAAGTGAGTCTCTTGTAAAGGTCTTGTTTTATTATCCATTCCACTACCCTGTCTTTTGGAGCATCTAAATCCAATTACATTTAAAGTAATCATTGCTAGATATGTAGTTATTGCCATGTTAGTATTCACATTTTTCTCTTTTTTTTTCTTTTTTCTTCTTCTTACAGAAATCCCTCTAACATTTCCTGTAATACTGGCTTGGTGATGATGAACTCCTTTAGCTTTTTCTTGTCTGGGAAGCTCTTTAGCTGTCCTTCGATTCTAAATAATAGCTTTGCTGGTAGAGTAATCTTGGTTGTAGGTCCTTGCTTTTCTTCACTATGAATGTTTACTTACAATCCATTCTGGTCTGCAAAGTTTCTGCTTAGAAATCAGTTGACAGTCTTATGGGAGCTCTGTTGTATATAACTGCTTTTCTCTTGGTGCTTTTAAGATTCTCTTTTTGTCTTTAACCTTTGGCATTTTAATTATGATGTGTCTTGGTGTGGGCCTCTTTGGGCTCATCTTGTTTGAAACTGTCTGTGCTTCCTGGGCTTGTATATCTACCTCCTTTGCCAGGTTAGGGGACTTTTTAGTATTATTTCTTGAAATAAGTTTTCCATTCTTTGCTCTCTCAGTTCTCCTTCTGGTAGCCCTATGATGCGAATGTTGGTATGCTTGATGTCCTAGAGGCCCCTTAAACTGTCCTCAGTTATTTTTATTCTTTTTTCTTGTTTCTGTTCTGATTGGGTGTTTTCTGCTACCTTATCTTCCAAATCGCTGATTCGATCCTCTACTTCATCTAATCTACTACTGATTACCTCTAATGTATTCTTCATTTCAGTTATTATATTCTTCATTTCTGACTGGTTCTTTTTTATGTTTTCTATCTCCACTTTTATGTTTTTTATCTCTATGTTGAACTTCTCACCAAGTTCATCTACTCTTCTGTGGGGATATATTTTGAAGTATGAACATTTTTAGTTTTTTAAACAGTCAAATTTATTTTTTACCTTTATGATTTCTGGCCTTGAGTTTTGGCTAAAAAATTTTTATATCTATGGCTTATGATAATCTCTCAATATATTTTCTCTAAGTCTTGACAAATCAACAAATCTGGTTACAAATTTGAAAAAAATGGCTTAAGTTACGTGTTAATAATTTAGTTTGTCTCCATTACCTCTTTATTCAAACTTTCTCATTTCCAAATAAAGTGGAGCACTTTTTTTTTAAATAGGCCTCATGGTTTTCTGCTTTCGTAAAGTGTTGGAAAGACAGAATATAAATTGATTTATAAAGTATTGACATCTCAAGCTTATAGATTAATATTTATAGCCATAAGAGATTTTTTTTCTGTTTCAGAAAAAAAGAGAAAAAAAAATAGCCGGTCAAGTTCAAAAAGAAGACAGAAAAAAAGCCTCCCAAAAGGTAAGCAAGAAGTTATCACTCCCTCCCTGGTCAGCAGGGTCTTCACCTAGATGACCAGCATGGCCTCTTCTTCAGCCACATGGCCAACTAAGTATCAACTGGGGCCTGGCCAGTCCCATCCTTATCCCCAAGACTGTCTCGTCAAAGGACTCCTCCTCACAAAAGAAGGAAAATCCAGAAAACCTGTTGATTCCAGTGAGCAAAATAGACATGGTGCTTACATTCTCACTGATACACATGTAAGTAATACACAAAAAATGAGAAGTCGAAAGGGAAATAGAACAGAAAGGTGTATCGTGGCTCTGGAGAGAGAGAAAAAACGTACACACAAGAAAGGAGAGAAGTAATTATAGAGAAACAGTAAGATAAAAGTTAGGGACAGGGATCCAGGATTTCCTGATAGGATGGAGACAGGGAGCATGAGAACAGAAGTCACTAGTAGGAGAAGGAGGAGCTTCACTGGGAACCCTAATGAAAACTATTCACAAATCACTATTTGGCCCAGGAACCGCCTCACCCGAGCACAGAATCCAAGAGAAACTCCAAGTGGCAGATCGGGCAACTCAGAGGAAGGACAACTCAACCACGAGCTCACAGATGGTGACAAGGGCCCAAAAGGCAAAGACCAAATGCGCCCAAACATCTGGACTTGAGGGTAAGGCCGGCGACAGAAACTGCCACTTGAAGGTTCAATGAGGGAGCATCTCTCGTGCAGCAGCCAGAGTTAGGTGGATGGATATGGAAAGGTAAGGGCAGAAGGAGAGAGAAGGGCAGACAAGAGGGACGTGAGGGCAGAGCAAGGAGAACGGCTGGTCGGAGAATGGATGCTGGAAAAAGTGTCTTCAGGGTGCAGTTCACCTCTGCTGGGCCATGGGGATTCACACGACCACTTCCCGGTGTCGACGGTTTACGTTTCTGCTGGTAGAGTCACCACTGCTCCACTGAGTCTGAGGGCTTCTCTCTGACTCAAGCTGAGAGTGTCACCAAGCCCCAAAGCGGACACATTCTTAGCAGTATTTCTTAATGGTTAATTTCTAGAAGTGAAGTGAATTGGTCACTGAGTCTGCATATTTAAAATTAGCACATACCGATGATCAAATTGTTGCCAGTTTAGACTCCCATTAACATTATATGGCTGCCCATTTACCTACATCTCCATCAACGCTAGAAATAATTAGGCTTTTCTGTTTGGGGCAAATTAAAAGCAAAGAATGGTATTCCACCAGCATTTCCTTTTGAATTTCTTTGCACTGTGCATGTGGTTAAACACACTATGATGGTTCATGTTACTGCTATATATACTCCTGCCCCATAGACTCAAGAATGGCCATGTGACTTGATGTGGCCAAAGAAACGTGGGCAGAAGTGAAAGGGTCACTTCCAAACCAAAGCTTTAGAAGCCTTGTGCTGTCTTTCTCTCTGCCATGGGATCTGTGAAGCTCTAAGCAGAGGCTACTCTGTCCTTAAGATTCATGAGTGTCAAGGACGTGGAACTTCATCTAACTTGTGATCAATACGTAGCATGAAGATGAAGTAAACCTGTGTTGTTCTAAACCAGTGTTTGGCAAACGTTCTATAAAGGACTAGATAACAAATAGTTTAGACTTTCTGGCCGTACAGTCTCTATTGCAACTACTCAATGCTGTCCTTGTAGCATGAAAGCTGCCAGAGACAAATATATAAAGAAATGAACCTGGCTCTATTCTGATAAAACTTTATTTACAAAAACAGGCTTTGGGCCGATTGGGCCCTCAGGCTGTGGTTTGCTGGCACCTATAACAAACCACTGAGATCTGGGAGGACCATAATTACCGTAGCATCATCTATTCTATTTTTACTAAGATACCTGTTTTTTAATAAATGTTTCATTAGAATTTTTTCTTTTGAGAATTAGCTGTTCCTCTTTGTCTATTTTTGCATCAGACTATTCTTTTTGTTTGTTTGTTTGTTTAATCACTTAGGGAAATTAACCCTTTGTTATCTTATTGTACTTTTTATTTTTTTCCTTTTTTTCTTTTTTTTTCTTTTTTTTAATTAAGTTTATTGGGTAATGTTGGTTAATATAAATATATAATTTTCAGTTGTACATTATCATTTGATATCTATATATTCTATTGTGTGTTTACCACCCAAGAAGTAAGCATTTTTTTTTTTTTAACGCCTACAGCACCTGGTCTTCCAAGGTGGTCTCTCATCCAAGTACTAACTAGGCCCGACCCTGCTTAGCTTCCGAGATCAGACAGGATCAGGCACGTTCAGGGTGGCATGGCCGTAGACTTATTTTGTTCTTGTCTTGTAACTTAATTGAGAAATTTTTGGTTATGGAGATTTTTTGTTCATTTGAGTCAAACAAGTAAGTTTATTCTTTCCAATATAATTTGTGCCAGAGTTTCACAATCTTGGCACTACTGGCATTGGGGGCTGGATAATTCTTCGTCGTGGAGGCTATAATGTGCATTATGGGATTCTTATCAATATTCTTGGCCTCTTTCAATCAGACCAAAAAAGGAATATTTTGCAGCATAGACAAATATCCCCTAGCAGTCACCTAGCATTGGGAACCACTACTTTGTGCCCTGTTCTGTGTTAAAAGCCCTTTCTATGTAATATTGATAAGGCTATATCCTTTATTTACTTCCAGTATTTGTATTAAATATATATACATGCTTTTACATGTTATAGAGAATAACTTGACTTCTGTAATAAATAATAAACGTTTGACTCCTGTCATATTTTCAGCCTCCCCATCTATTAACATGAGCTCGCTGTTTTTCCTTGGTCGATGCTATGATTTTCCCTTTTTAAGGACTCATATCCACCTTTCTCCAAACTGGAAGAAAGACAGAAAAAATTAAAGTAGTTGACATATAAAGCATGTAAGTCTCTGTTTACAGTTATAAGTGACTACTCACTCTTTTTATTTTTTAGAAAAGGAAAGGGAAATAGATGTCTGTTCAAGTTCAACAAGAAGTTGTCAGAAAAATACCCCCCAAAAGAGTAAGTGAGTGGGAAGCCGAGCCCGGCCCTTGGGGCTCCCCAGGGCCCGGCCTGCTGTCCTGCTGTTGAAAGCTCCATCCCCCCTGACCTCGTCCACTCCCGCTCCCGCTGTCTTTGCCTTCCTCCTCCTGGGCCTGCTCCGCCTGTGTCTTCTCCACTCTGACAAGGTGCCACGTGCGACACACTCCAAGTGAACGACAGCACATTAGGAGTGCTGCCTACCCACGCTACACACCTCCGTACCAGGAAGCAAGCCTTCAACACAGAACTCTCTAAGGACCCGAAAATGTCAGGAGACAGTGACCGAACCCATAAGTCAGGTTCTAATGTAAACTTCTGCTTCCCTCATTCTAGGAATTGGTGAGAGCTCTTATCGGAGCCAAACCTGGCCGTGTTCCTGTTTCTGGGTGGGATGAACTTGCTCCTCTCGTGTTAGTCAGGGGTGCAGGCCTGGTCTCCTCAGGTCAGGCCCTGGGCTTGGCCCTCTGAAGTCTCGTGCCTCTTGGGGTCACTGTCCTCCCCGCAGCCTGCTCTCCCTGCATTCACTTGTCTTTCGTTTTTATAACTTACTCCCCCAGCATGCTCTCTCGTCACTCTCCCCTCCTTCAGACATCAGCCACATGGGCCTCGTTTTCCCCTTCAACTTATTATTCAAATATAAAAGGTGCTACTCAAGGTGCCATCTACAAGCCTGTTTGTTGCAGGTGTGCAAAAGTACGGAGCTTGGAAATTAACTGTGACCCTGAACACACTTTTCGTAGCAAGCCCTCCTCAGTGGAGACAGCGGGACATTGATCTCCGTCCTGGTCAACCCTTGTCTCATCACCGGCCACGTGTCGAGTAGCACTGGTGTATCATGCTCACAGACAAGTGCACATTCCACAAGTGTAAGCAGCGTGAGGAACTGACACAAAGGGAAGGCCACATGTACCCTGCACGCCCGGGGCCAGAAACAGATCGTAACGCACGCCCGTAATCCAGTCCTTACCCACACCCCAAGGGTCGCTGCCAGCCTGGTCTCTCAAAGTGTGGGTCACTCTGACACCAAATGCTTCACCCCCTTTCCAGCTCAGGGCCCCCTCAGTGTGCCCCCCACCCACACACGCTCACTCCCTCCCTAAAGCCACCCCCTCATCCTCATCCCTCCCTTTGCTGCACATCCTCAGGCCTCACCTTGACCACAGCATTCTCTGCCCCACAGGTGAGTCTAAGTCTCCCTGACCTGCCTTCAGGGAGCCCTGTATTTTTCCCTGTGGTGCTTACCACAACTTTACCTGTCTGTGAACATCCTGCTCACTGTGTGAAAGTCAGAAGTAGGTCAGTTTTGCTCAGTGCCCCGTCTCCTCTGTGCCTCACACACTCTGCTTAAATAACTGTCAAGTCACTACCTTATTCATCCTTCTTCATCAGGGATGAACACCAATATCAGGGCCTTCGTTTACCCATAATGCACTTGTGTGGACTAGAAAAAGCGCCCTTTCTTCACGTAGGCCCAGTCAACACGGGGACGGCATCAAACTGCAGCCTAAGGCAACCCAGGAGAGAAAGCGCTATCTTTTTAATAAATGTAAACAAATGCCAAAAATAGAAAGAAAGGAAGGAAGGAAAAGAAAGAAAAAGAAAGAAAAAAGAGAGAAAGAAGAGAGAGAGAGAAAGAAAGGAAGGGAGGGAGGGAGGGAGAGAAGAGAAAGAAAGAAAGAGAAAGAAAGGAAGGAAGGAAGGAAGGAAGGAAGGAAGGAAGGAAGGAAGG